GACGTTGTGAAACAAGCCAATTCACTTCGTGAACTCGGCAACCTGGTTACTGTTTTTGTTTTACCTCTGTTTTTTTTCGGCGGTAACCATAATGGTGGTCGAGTATATCATGTTGTGCGGGGTGGAAAACCCTCATTCCGCGCAATGGGGATGATCGCACCACGTTGTGCTTAAATCTTCAAGCACCCTCGAGGCAGTTACACAGTGCTTACAACTGTCTCTAGAAGTGAANAACCAGCTCGATCCCTGCTTCCCCTGCTAACGAATACAGGGTCGTGATGAAGGATGAAGAGGCAGGAAATGTGCCGTTCCGACAGGTGGTGGGGAGCCTGATGTGGATCGCCAACCAGACGAGGCCCGACATCTCACATGTTGTGCGGGCAGTGGCGAGGCACTCTCATGAGCCAAAGAAAAACCACTGGAAGGCGGCCCAGAAGATTCTGAATTATCTTCTGGAGACGCCATGTAACTTTGAAGTACAAGCAGGACACAATGGTAGTCGTAGGCACGTTGGTATACGTAGACGCTGACTTCGCCAGCAAGGCCACTGACCGTAGATCAGTCGGGAGCACTAGTTCTTGTAGCGGACTGTATTGTGGATTTGTAGGACGCAGAAATGTGTCACACTGGCGACAACTGAAGCGGAGTGTGTTGCGATGGGTGACGGTGTAAAAGGGGCTCTGTTTCTCAACGGAATGCTCGAGTTCTTGAGGCCTAGTGATTGAATTGGTCAGATTTAGGTACGAGAGGACAACGAGGGTGCGATTGCACTTGCTGAGAATCCACTTAGTTCGTGTAACAGTAGGAACGTTGACCTGCGGCACCACTTTCTTAGGAATTTAACAGAGGGGGGAGTGTTGGAAATCATGCATGTTACTACAGCGAAGGACAGCATGTGGGCATCCTGGCGAAGGCTCTGCCGAGAGAAAGTAATTTTGCTCTAGGCTCGAGATCTGAGAAGTAGAGGTCTGAGTCGTGTTTTGTTATTTTTGTCCTTGTTTTGCTGACACATGTTCGTGCGTAGAAGTAGATAGTCGAAAAGTAGCCGTTACGTAGGACGCAGCTGGGACAACTTGAAGGGTATGTGCTGAGAGGCTTTGGATGATAGTGCGGAGTCCCCGTGTTTTCTCGAGAATTGGGACTCTCCTCCTTCTCCCTCTCTCCTCTCTCATGCGAGCTAATACACGCAGTTAAACAGCATCCCCAAGTCCGCCGGCCCTTAACAGGGCTAGGGCTCACGAACACGTTAGCGTTCGTCCTCCCGGGAGGATCCGCAAGACGGTGCGGGCTATGCCAAGCGAGAGGCAGCGGGGTTCCAGCAGCCAGGGTACGCAACTCTGAACTGGACGCTTTCTGACTGGAACGGAGCAGTAACTGAACGAGTAGAGATGACAGAGGTGCAGGAGATGATGGGCATGCTGCCATCGCTACTGCAGGCCGAGTCGGAAGGGCAAGGCCAGGAGGGGTCGGCGGCGCTGCAAGAGGGCGCCGCGGGTGCGGCGGAATTGGGGGTTCCGCCGAGCAGCCACCGAGAGCTGTACCCTGCGGTGGTCGTCAGGGAGGGCGACACTGCTGAAGGAGAGTGTCACAGCTCTCGGTGGCTGAAGGAGAGTGTCAGCAGTTGCCGCTGGAGACACTGGTGAGGGTGTCACAGCAACCGATCAATCCGTTCAGGGGAGGTCGGGTGGAGAATGCGGCACGGCGGAAGGGTCGTGTCCACTGTTCTGCCTTGCTGTAGTAGCGGGCGGGGCGCACAGAAGTCGCCGGAATTGATGGTGCAACAGAACGGACGGAGAGGCCGTGAAGTCGCGCAGTTTTGGCGCGCACTCCATCTGCGGTAAGGCGGTGGATCAACATGAAAGGCGTTAGAGTAATCGGCGCAACAGAACGGACGGAGGGGCCGTGAAGTCGCGCAGTTTTGGCGCGCATTCCATCTGCGGTAAGGCGGTGGAGCACCAGGACGGTAGAGAGACCGTTGGGCAGGATTGCCGGAGACACTCAACCATGGATCGACCGCGCGACGGCGCGGGGGGGGGTGGGCGCCGTACATGCTTGATGCTGGCGGTGTTTTGTTAAGTCGATCCAAGGCCGGCAGTAGAGGCCGGGTACGCCCTACCACGGTTGACACGCGCGACGGCGCGTCGGGGGGTGGGCGCCGATCACGCGGGAGCGGGCGGCGTTTTTTTACCACAGCACGGACGGAGGGGCCGTGGCTGCTTTGCCTCGTCGTCGGAACGGGGGGGGCAGCATTATAAGGCGCGCGGAGGTGGCGCGCAAACCCAGCACGGACGGAGGGGCCGTGGCTGTTCTGCCTCGTCATAGGAGCGGGGGGAGTAGCATATTAAGTCGCGCGGAGGTGGCGCGCAACCATCAGCCGGAGGTGGGTGGTGGAACGGGGCACAGCTAAGTGGGTGTCATCAAAGTCGCGTGGGGAGGTGCCGCGCGCATTTCATCAGCCGGGAACGAGCGGTGGAGACAAGAATGCGTCAGGATGGACGTGAGGAATTAAAGGCGTGCTTCGCCATCAAGATGTGTTGGTGGAGTAGTTGGAATAAGCTTGGATTTTGTTGTCTTGTTTTGTGTGGAGGTACCAGTTTGAGGTCGTGATGAAATCAAGCAACTTGTATTCGAGGAAATTCTGTTCACTGTTGCGTGTTTCTTTCCGCCGTCATTTGCGCGTTGTCTTGCACCCAAATCGTGGTTGTTCTGAATGTTTGTGTTCGTCGTTATGCCATTAGTGCATCCTTCGCCGGTGACGTTGTGTTGCTGGTGATGATGGCAAAGTGTCGGGGGGTAGAGACGTTCACGTTGGTAGAATTTGCCACCATCACTCATGTGTGGGGGCTACGCGGTTATATGTGACCCACGGCCTAAGTAGGAGGCGCAACAAGTGTTTTGTTTACCTGAGTTGTTGCAGAACAAGGGAGGGTGGAAACGGGCGTGTTTCTTTTGAGAATGTTACGCTTGAAGAGTACGCCCGGTCTTGGTATTATGCAACTTGACAGGTTGGTGTGTCGGGCAGGTATGCAGTTGTTAGTGGAAGTCGATTTTGTTTTCACGTACGGAAGCATGTTGGTTGTGTCTGTTTTGGGAAGCGACATCTAGGTGATGGCCATGTGCGTGTTCCTCTGGGCGCCGGTGTTGCGCAAGGGAGGGCACTAGGCTTAGGTTCCTGGTGTGCTTGTCTATAATGCAGACAGCGTAGATGCTTGGGGTTCGTAGTACAGCGTTACCAAGTTGTGGGGGGGCGTTTGTGTTTTGCGTAGTTGTGCTTGAAGGTTCAGTAGCAAGTTGATGTATCCTTGATTGAAGGAGAACTGAGGATTGATTTGGTAGTTTGCAGATGGTGGACCTTGTTTGAAGCAGGCTACATTCGGCAGGTTGTATATTTCTCAAAAGCGGGCATCCTTTGGAGAATCGAGTTTGATTGGTTTTTCAGTTGGAAACAGGTCATGATTTTGAGTTCGTGTAGGATTGCAGATGGTTGAACCGAAGGCAGGGAGAACGTACCTGTTCGATGCAGTTTTCGTGTGGAATGCAGATAGACAGGGAGGGCGTTGCCTGCATGTGTGTGACACCTGAAGAGTCAGTTGGTGCTGCACAGTAAGGAGTTCGTTCCATCATGTCGGAAGGATTTGTCAGAGGCGTTGCTCGAGGTAGTAGAGCGTTGCCTAGAATTTGTAATCCGAGCGTCTGGAGTGGTTTTATCTTTGTCTTCTTGCAGTACGGCCGTTGGAATCATTGGTGATATGGACGGCTATTGGATTTTGTTTGAGCCGTTGGAATCTTTCGTGATATGATCGGCGTGAGGCGTTGAATTTCTGAGGGGTTTTGATCCGGTGGCTGGGTTTCCCCTTTACTTTTGGTTTGTCGTTGTGTTTCGGTTTTTCGGACGTATGTTCGACGCACTAGAGGTTCTTCACTGGCGTAAAGAACCAGGGAGGGTGTTCGTGCGTAGAAGTAGATAGTCGAAAAGTAGCCGTTACGTAGGACGCAGCTGGGACAACTTGAAGGGTATGTGCTGAGAGGCTTTGGATGATAGTGCGGAGTCCCCGTGTTCTCTCGCGGCGCCCGGGAATCTGCCATAGATGGCAGGAAAGAAACTCCTGCCATAACAAAAAACGCCTCCAGAAACGACTCTACAGAACCAGATTTCAAACTGAAGCACTGAAGCCGAGAGCGGAGAGCGATGGCACAGACCACCCTGCTACCCTGTAGCACGCACAGCCTCTGTCTGCACGCTGAAACCGCTGTCTAACAACCCCGAGGCACTCTCAGTATGGAGGCTGTTGCAAAGAGCACAAAACGAGGACGCCGTTAAAGGTGAAAAGTACGGGATAGAGTTAGCAACACAATGCAAAGGCACGTTGTGGTGTGATGGCGTGGGTGTTATCTTCACTTTAAAGCGAGGGGTCGCATAGACATAGACAACAGCAGCAAATGGGCGTCAAGTCCCCCGCTCCCTTCTACACGCTATGTCACGCACAATGTAAAAATGGAGCGTCAAAGAAGGTCTTGGTACCCCCACAACTTGAGCCCAACAAACAGATGGAGTCCCTCCCGATTACAACGCAAAAGAAAAATATTTATGGGCCAATGATACTGCCGGAACCCCGGCATCCCAGAGCAGTTCAACTGCGAAGCAGAGACAATAATCCGGTAAAGGGAACAACAATAGAAGGCCGACAAAACTCAAACATAAAGATGTGATGGTAGGCAGCAACCTTTCTCCCCGTTGGATTGTTCCCTGATATTGATATTGACTGACTTGCCCTCGCTTCGATATTGACGCAACCGACCCAATTGCTTCGAAAAATACCGCACAGGATGAACAGCCGCTCACGTTTTCGTTTTGTTCACGTCGTCGCTGACTTTGCCGCTGATGGCCCGGTGTACGTCGACCATAGTCCCGGTCCTCGTCATGGCCGGCTTCAAAGCGCCGTTGGTCGATTCCACTCGCTGCGTGGAGGAAATGCCGAGCGTGGGGAGCCCAGGGTGCACGTACTTCGCCCACCGCTGGACCCACCTGTGACACATGCCGGGCCGGCTCGAAATTTAGTGAGGAAGAGCGGCTGGAGCCACGAAATTCTGGGGCGGGAGACGGCATGGTGAATAACGACTAGCGAAACATGAGCAAAACACAACTGAAACAACAGCCTCCCCCTTGGCCACGGACATTTCTCCCTCCGCGGGGTGGCGAAGGCAAACAAAAGCCGGGGATACTAATTGATCCTAACCCTACCGCAACCCAAACCCAACAAGACAGTCTCGCACCAGCACCAGCTATCCTTAACCCCGGTGTACTCCCGAGGACAATGCTGCTGTATGCGTGTCACTAACTCGGCTTAGGGCCATGCCAGGCAGTGCTTACTTGGGGGAGAAAACG